ACACTGCATTATGTAAAAAAATTGTTTCACTTCTTTAATTTGTTTTTAAATTTGTTTATTTTGCTGCATTTAATCATAAACTTTAAATATAAAACTGATTTAAAACCTAGTTTTATATTAAAATAAAAAACAAAGAACAAAATGATATCAGTAAATTAGCCCACCCTTCCGTCAGGTGATCACTGACGGACCGGATGTGGCCCACGGGCCTCCAGCTGAATAACACTGCTCTATCCACTTGATTCTTTGATTTCCAGAAATACAAACATTAGTCCACAACAGAACAGAAAACTGAGTTTAATTTATATTTTTTTAAGTTTTAATTTTATATTTCTAAAGATAGGATGTAATCAGGCAGATCCTTTGAGAAGTCCAGCTTCAGTCTGAGGATATTTTGGGAGAAACACGTTAAATCAAACAGGAYTCAGAGCGAAACAGACGAGTCAGAAACAAGTTCTCAGCTTACAGAGCATCGATTCTCCTTCTTTGATCTTATTCGCATCTTGTTACTCAGACTGGAATAACATCCTTCAGATCGCCTTACTGGAATATCCGAGTCATGACACGACTTTACTTCAACCTGCTAAAACGTGAAACACAACAAGTTTGGCTCGTTGCTCGGTTAAAAAGCTAAACTAAAGATGGAACATCAGGTGTCAGGTGTTTTTCATCTTCGCTCTGTTTTCAGTCGAGTTTATTGTACGATACTGAAAGGCAAAAGTTGATCCTAAACCAGAGGTTCTCAAACTGGGGTCCCAGGACCCCCAGGGGTCCGTGAGAGGTATCTTGGYGGTCATCAAAAAATGTCACTAAATTGTTAATTTGGTTTTTATTTTAAAAAAATGCATGAGGAACAATGAACTAATAAAACAAATGCAATAAACTAAATAAAAAATATATTCCCATGGCATTTAGGGGTTGAAATGACAGTAAATTATCTTTTAAAACAGCTCGGGTTTTATGAGGGGGTCCCTGGAATTTTTTGCCCTTGTAAGGGATCCCCAGACCCAAAAACTTTAAGTTTCCCTGTCCTAAATGAATGAACCTTGCAGGAAACAGTCACTGGAACTACAACAAAATGAGTTACTCTTTAATAGTTGATGGTTCTAAGCAGGTAAACAAGGTTCTGTAAACGGTGTTACCACTACAGCGGATGTTGCTGCTGCTTTGCGTCATTTCTACACATTGTTTTAATCCACACAAACACACACTGAGTGCCTCCAGCGTGTTAGGGACCAGTCATTTCTGACAYGCTTCATCAACAGCACATGTTCTGACAATAATTCTGATGTCCTGAGTGGCCTGACTTCATGGCTCGCGGGTCACGGCGCCGAMGGCTCCACTCTCCTGCTTGTGACTCGGGGGGAATCTCAGAAGACTGACAGCTCTGACAGGTGGAGCTGCAGCCCACTTTGACAAACTACTGATTAGCCTGTCACTCCGAATGCAGGGGAGCCGGSAAGGATGTAAAATTCATTCAGTGGCTCGCAGCGAGCAGCCAGACAGGTAGCTGAACGGACGCGTCGCCTCATCGAGCTCGATGCGTTGACACGGTTAATTATGCCTGAGTAATAAGAACAAGTCACACTGATGTATCGCAGCGACACTTTCAGAGCTCTGGCTCCTTAACGGATTCAGTTTGTCCTTCATTTCAAGGAAAAACAGATAAATATGACTTTTCTTTGGTGTTAACTGCAAGGATTTGTCAATACAATTGTTTGAAGGTCTTTATTTTTGTCAAACACGTCAAATTCAAGGCCCGCGGGCCAAAAGTGGCCTGTGGGTGACTTTCATATGGCCTATCACAGAGACTTCACTCAAATTTTTTTATTAAATGTGAAAATATTTGATTTAATTTATTTATTTAACAGGAAAAGATTATTAAAAATCAAGCCTGACTCAAAATAATTGCTGGTTTAC